ATTTTTGACTCACCCTCATATATATTTAGGTGCTGTGATGTTCTCACTCCAGTATGGGGATGTGCTGACCCGTGATCTCTAAGACCCTGGAAGGAAGCTGGGTGGGCCCCAGACCTCCTGGTCTCTGCCCATCTTCAAGAGTGACACATGAGCTGCAGTAGACTGGGGCATTTAGGGCCAAACAAGAGTGTGAAAGGGTGAAACCCCCTGAGCTCTTCGAGAATTTTAACTGTGGAGACAGCATTTTGGCTGTAATCGCTTGTGTGCCCTTCCCACGTACAGAAATCCCATTTTCAGCTCAGTCAGGTGATGGTGGGGCTGGAGCGCTCTCCGCGGACCACTGGTGTGTCAGACACCGATGGTACTGGCCAGGGTTAGGTGAGCACTGCGCTTGCTTGTGGGTTTTCAGAAAGAACATAGCCGACTGGCCCACTGAGATGAGGAGTGCTGGCAAGGGCCCGACTGACTTCTGTGAGAGTCTCATTTCCTCATTCAGGGCTCAAGGCTGCATCTCCTTCTCCTGACTTCACTTCTAACATCGCTTAGAACCCACCGCTCACAGGTTCACACCCGTCTGTGTCTTCCTGGTCTCACCACATCCTGCAGGGCGATATTTTGGCTCTCAAAACAAAATGTGCTCTCTCATGGTCTGGCACCCTCCAGCTGAGCTCCAGTTGCCGAATCTTCTGATGCGACTGAACACCCACCCCACACACCCAGACAATTTCACTCCCTCAGCCACATTCTCTTCTAGTGTGTCTCCTGAGGGTTACTACAAGGAGAGAAACCATCAAGAACTTCCACTGGACCTGTGGATATTAGCCAAAAAAAAAACCCACATTAACTGGCAATTTCGTGAGTACAAAACTGAAAAACCAAACCTGCCATCAAGTTACTTCCGACTCATAGCAACCCTGTATAGCGTTTCCAAGACTAAATCTTTACAGGCACAGACAGCCGCAGCTTCTCTGCCACACAGCCACTGACCCGGTGGTTCCTGGTGACATTCATTTCGCACAGGAGAAACAAGAGTTTTCCTAGGACAACCCAGGAAGGAAAGATCCTAGTGTGAGTTACCACAACAGAGTTGAAAGAAGGAAGGCAGAAGAGAAAAACAGACATAGAAATGAGATAAAATGGAAAACAGAAACACAAAAGGGAGGGACCACCTCAGTTTCAGCTTTCAAAGTTTTGGGATTTGGTAGCCTGGAAGGAACTGGTAACTTGGGCATGTGGGCCACAGGCCCGGAGAGTAAACTTTACACTGAATTATACCAACCTTCAGCATCCAGGAGGGTCAGTCAAAAGGATTACCACAACATTATCAAAACCTTTATGAAACAAAAACCATCAAATGTGAAGTTATTGTCTCTCGGCATCTCCTTATCTGGGCCTGGGCACTTCGAAGGCACTGGCCACGGTTAGGCAAGCCTGACCTTTCCGGAAGAACTCTGCCCTCCTCAATTGATACCACACCAAAATGGCTTTATGGCATCCTTGAGGGACACAAACCGTGTTCCTTTTCACTGTTTTTTGAGTCTTGGGAACAAAAGGAAGTCTGAAGAGACATGATCAGGGCTGTAGGGTGCGTGGGGTACGGCCTCCCAGCCAACCTGTCATGGGACAGCCCTTGCTACCCTCAAACAATGAAGAAGTACTCTGTCATGATGGGAAAAGCGAGTTTCCTAGGACTAGCCTGGGGAAGACAAATGCTACAGTCCAAGTATTATACTACAGTGTAGTTTTTCTTGCCTATGTATTTTCCATGTTCTTAACTTCTTCCTAGTAAGTCCCCATGATCACCCTATGTCCTTAGAGAATATCTCATGATGTCCCCTGGGAATCTCCAAATACAGTCACCCTAACCTACTGAGCTGAGCTCTCTGCCTTGAATGAAACTGACCCTACAAATCCCCTGGGGAGCCACTGTTTTGACTGGACTTCTTTAGTGAAGGCCCCTAAAGAGACAAAGACAAGAGTGTTACTGAGAGCATGAGTCTGCAGCCGTCCACTCATCACAGAGACCTGTTTCAAAACATCTAGTTTGGAATAAACCCATGCATGTATAAACTGGAACCCTAGTAGCAATACTTTTTGACTCACCCTCTTATGTAGTAATGAAAACAAAAACCAATGGCAAGTAACTAGTTTGATACATATATGTGTGTGTGTGTGTATATATATATATATATGTGTGTGTGTTGTTAAGTGCCAAGTCCATTCTGACCCATAGCGACCCCGTACACGGTTTACAAGGCTGTAAATCTTTACGGGAGCAGAAAGCCTTATCTTTCTCCCGCGGAGCCGCTGGTAGTTTTGAACTGCTAACCTTAAGGTTCACAGCCCGATTCGTAACCACTACGCTATCAGAGCTCATATATATATACACATACACACACATACTGATTGGAAAGTAATGATATTGTTTCTTTGATTTAGTGAGTTTGTCCAAACCTGGTGTCTGGCTGGCATGTTGTTAAAAGCTGTTGAGTTGGCTTCAACTCACAGCAAGCCTGACTAGGGTTTCCAAGAAGCAGCTGGTGAGTATGAACTGCTGACCTTGCGTTTAGCAGTCCATGCTGACGGTACAGCACCACACCACAACTCCCTTGGTTTAATGCTTTGCCTCTGTTAACAGGGCTTAGTGGTTAACTGGGCACTGTCAGAAAACCCACGGCAGCCTGTAAGCATTGAACGAGTGTGAAGGTGGCACCGGCACTTGGGAAGCATGGTCACTATGGACCTCAGAGCCTAGCCAGCTACACCTCCATCCCCACGGTGAGCTGAGGGAGGCGCTTCCCAAACCACACCTGATCTCAATGCCGGCCAGTGGTTTGCTAGGATCAGAATGGCTTCCAGGCTTGGCCTCCTAAGAACACCACTAGCGCTCTGCACTGTATTTGCCATATCTTCCTTCGTCACTGAGGCCCAAAGTGGAACCGACACTTCACAACTCGGCTTTCAAACACTCCGCAGGCCAGGGGAAGACAGAGCGGCCGAGGATGACAGTCCATCTCTAGGGCCTGAAACTAACGACCGCACAGACGAGAACAGACCTGGGAGCGTAAAGGCCTGAGACGCAGATTAATCTCCCCCCACCCTGCTGTTGTTCCCTCACAGCCCAGGGTCACTGCACCCCAATGTCCTGGACACCTCTACAGTGTCCAACTGCACACATCGCTACTAGACTCCATCCAAGTAGAGCTCCAGAAAAAACGTTTTCTAAGGGGGTTCTCCAAGTATCCCCCCCAAAGGAAGACCAGTGTGCTTATGGACCACGGCATGACACACCATTCCTCCCGGATCCTCTAACCTCACCTGCGCTGTATACAGGTATGTGCTGGGAAGACAGAATAACCTCGCAGCAGGCATCTCCAGTGGACCCCTGGTGGATAAAGTGACCGGGTCTGTGTTCGTTTGTAGAGCGGAGAATTGCTACGCTGTTGCCGCCAAGACTGATGGGTACATGTTGCAAATTATTTCTAATAAAACGCTTGGAAATTTTCCTTTGCAAGAAAACCCAACGTTGACAATTCACATGTGACAAGAGTTCTGTGTGGCATTTCTGCAGCGGAAACAAGCCTGGGGTGCCCTCCATTTTCTAAGCACAAGGGAGTGGGGTTTGCGATTTTCAGTCTCTACACTGAAGGAGCACTGTTGGCACCGTGGCTTAGTAACCTAAAGGTCAGGGGTTTGAAGCCACCAGCCGTCCTGCAGGATAAAGAGGAGGAGGTCTGCTCAAGGCAGCTCAGCTCATCCTACAGGGAGGCCAGGAGGCGGAACCGACTGACTCCAGGCCAGAGCAGGACCTCTCCTGTGTGGCATTCGTTCTTTAGCAAGGATCCCCAGTGCCGCAATGGTTAGAAGCTCGACTCCTAACTGAAAAGCTAGCGGTTCAAACCCACCAGCCACTCCTCAGGAGAAAGACGTGACAATGGGCTCTCATAAAGATTAGCGTTAGCCTTGGAACCCTAAGAGGCAGTTCTCCATGGGTTAACGCTGCACTGGAGCTGACCTGGCGGCACCCACCGGAACTCCTGGGCTGGGCAGCCTGTCCACCAGTTATAAACCAGTACAACCAGTCTGAACAAGAATCTCATTGTTGTTTTCATTTGCAATGCTGAGTCCTGGTGTAGCATTGTGGGATAATGCACTAGACCACAAGGTCCATTTGAACCACAAGATTGGTGGCTCAACCTCACCAGTTGCTTTTGGAAACCCTATACAGGTTCGCTATGTGTTGGGACTGACTCCATGGCACTTAACAACAAGAAGAAGCAAATTTTGACTTTCAGTTTTCTAAGCACATTGGACTCCCGGTGTGGCACTGTGAAAGCAGTACTGGACTGCAAAGTCAGTTTGAACTGCAAGGTTGGCGGTTCAAACCCACCAGCTGCTTCTCAGAAACCCTATGCAGGGTCACTATGCATCAGAACCAACTCAAAGGCATAAAGCATCATACAACAAAGCAGATAGAGATCTTCATAGGTTGATGCTGTCCTTTGGTGAGGGTCACTGACTGCATTTTTGACTTGTACCAATTCACACATCGTACAGTGTATGTCACAGCCTTTTCCCACTTCCTCCTGGGTCTCCTGTTTCCTTCCATCCTTTCCTGTCCCTTCCTGTCTTCTGGGCTTTCTCCCTTTTGATCTTCAGTGTGTGTGTGTTGGGGGTAGGGGTGGGTTACCCCAGTATTCCTGCTCACCTTACAGGCCTGTGAAAGTTGGCTCATGGGGGGAGTTCCATTCCAGACCCAAAGGGTGACTAAGAGTCACAGATTCGGGGGTTCCATCAGTGTCTACCCGACCAGCGAGCCTGATCTTGTTTATGATTTTGAATTTGGGTCCACATTTTCTTTCCATGCTCTTCAGGACCTTCTGCTGTGATTCATTTCAGAGTGCTGAACACCTCGTGCTCAGAAAGTGACCAACGAGAAGCTGACCCTGGTGGGCAGGCTGTGCTTTGGCGGAATCTCCCAGGGAGCTCCCACCGCTCACCTGCACGCTGAAGAAAAGTGTCCCAGCTAAAGGCGGTGTTAGGCACTGTTGTGATTCCTGCACCAAAGGAAAGAGGAAGAGAAAGTTTACTTTGTGAGTCCGCAGAGGTTTCTCCAGGTATTGAGTGTTGAAGCTGCAGACAGAACCACTCAGGGCTCTGAAGCCTTCACAAAATTCCCATCAATCCTTCCAGTCCCTGTGAGCCCTAACCCACCACTTCTAACCACCATCCATTCTAGGGCTGGGGCTGAAATCATTCCTGGGGCTGAGGCAGCCAATTCCGATTTAGAGCGACCCCATGGGACCCTTCCCAACAGCCACATTCGGTTTCTGAGGCTGTGATCTTTGCAGGAACACAGCACCACGTCTTTCCCCTGAAGAGCACCGAGTGGATTCCAACCACTGGAGTTTAGGATGGCACAGCTGAGCACTTCAACCACTGCGCTACCAGGACGCTTTCTTCTCTGGCTGCTGTGTTGTTGTGTGCTGTTGAGACACTGTAGACTGATGGCGACAGGACAGGGTGGACGGTCCCAGCTTCCTGGGCTACACAGCTTTAGGGGGACAGACTGCCACCTCTTTCTCCCACAGAGCCAGTAGGAGGGGCCAAACCACAGACCTCAGATTCAGCAGCCAAGCACAACACCCCCGGGGCTGAAAGGCATAGGAATTTAGAGTTCCTTAATAATGCAAAAGGTTAATGAGCTTGGTCACTAACCAATGTTGTTCAGATGTTCAAGTCTACAGAACAGGACCTAGAGAAAGGCCGAGTGATCTACTTCTGACAACTCATCCACTGAGAACCCTGTGAGCACAGTTCTACTCTGACACACATGGGGGCACCATGAGTGGAATCTACTTATGAAAAATGATCCACTGAGAACCCTGTGGAGCTCAGGTCTACTCTGACACACACGGGGCATCATGAGTGGAATCTACTTATGAAAATGATGCACTGAGAACCCTGTGGGACACAGTTCTACTCTGACACACACACGGGGCACCATGAGTGGAATCTACTTATGAAAATGATCCACTGAGAACCCTGTGGGGCACAGTTCTTCTCTGATACACACGGGGCACCATGAGTCGGCGTCAACTCAGTGACAACCAGTGTTTTGTTTTGAGAACAGGTTTCTCAGGTCTTGCCAATTAAACCCTAAAACCCCACATAAAAATCCTGTCTTGCTTCAACTTCCCAATCACAGCTCTCTGCAACAGGCAATGAGGAATTTATAAAATGTAAATTACATCTTCTTGCCACTGAATTGTTCCAGTGATGACTATTTAATGAGGGCCCGCTCTGGACAGGTGCTTCCCATGCCAGGTCTGCAGCCAACCCTTCCAACCTGCTGAACAGGTTGATTCCTGTACTCACCCAGCTGGCTGCACTGACCAGGCATGGAGAGACCACAGCAAGGCGTGGAGAGACCACAGAGAGAAAGCTCCATGTCTCTGCAGCCCAGCTGTCAACGATCCACTGCGCGGAGAGGGATGCTGAGCCTGCACGGTTCTGTGGCTGCAGGGACAGCGTTACAGTGGGACCCACAGCAGAGACGCTGAAGCGGCTGCCATCGAGTCGGTTACGACTCACAGAGACCTCATAGGACAGAGACGGCCTGTAGGGTTTCCGAGGCCTCGTCTTTATAGAAGCAGATCAGCATGGTTTTCTCCTGTAGGCTGGCTAGTAGGTTCAAAAGCCACTGACCTTGCGGTCTGCACTGGAGCGCTTAACCACTGCACCACCAGGATTCTTCCTTGGGGCTAAAACCAAGATAAACTTTATTGAATTTGGCCCACAGTGCTCCTGTTCCTAGAGCCATCTTCCCACGGTGAGGAGTTTACATACTGCACTCAGAAGACCCCAAATCCAAAACCATGCCCACTGCCAGGATGTCCATACTGACTCTTAGCAACTCTGCAAGATAGCAAGGAACTGTCCCATACGGTTTCTGCGACAATCATTTTTCTTCCATGGAGCAGCTAGGGTTTGAACTGCTGACCTGACAACAGCCCAATGCTTACCTCACGGCACCACCAGAGCTCCCTGTAGGAGACGCCCAGAGGGTTTTTTATAGAAGGGCAAAGACTCTGTTGCACTTTTGGTGAAAATGGCAGATGGCCTGTATACAATACGCTCACGCATTGGGCTCACATTTTAAAGTCAGAAGAAGAATCCAAGTGCATCCGTCCTACCAAGGTGAGAGCCCCGAGTCCTTGCGGAAAGGGAGGCTTTTCAGTGCAGGCAGATGTTGTATCATTGCCCTTCACACACTGTTTGTTTGTTTTACAGATGGAAGGTGCACGGCAGGCCCACGCCAAGCAGCCCATGCACTGTTTGTCCAACAGCGCGTGCTCACTGCATGTCTCCTGGCCCCATGCTGACCTTTCTCACAAGATTCCAAACTTTCCCATCAAGCCATCGCACACCTCAAAGCGTACACCTCAAAGTGGACACTGTGGCTCGGATTCAGTGTCTGCGTAACTTTGATAAGCTCTGGGGAGCTCGGAAATCCATGCAATTCGCAATACTCACTGTATCACGGAGGTCTGCCCGTACTAAGGAACCTGGACGTGAAGGAAGTACTAGTGGACGGTGCTGGCGGTGGTGGTGATGCTGTGCCGTGGAGTCAGTTCCGACTCATAACGACCCTGCATAGGGTTTCTGAGGCTGTAAAACTTTATGGGAGCAGAAAGCCTCATCTTTCTCCTATGGAATGGCTGGTAGTTTCTAACTGCTGACCCTGAGGTTAGCAGCCCACCTCGTAAGCAGTAGCTCTAGACAGCCTAGAGATGGGTTTAACTCTGGTGGCAGGGCAGCCCAGCTACTGGAGGGGAGAGTGGGTCCTCTCTCAGGGGCAAGGGGGCAAGGGAAGCACCTCCGTTTCCAAAATGCACTTTCTATGTACTCTCTGATTTAAACTTTTAAGGATGGGATACTCTCAAGATATCCCAGAGAGGAGAAGAGTAAACAAGACGCAAGGTGTCCCAGCGGGTTACAGTCCTCATCAAACCAGGGCATGTCTCAGATACCCTTCCCCACCGCCACGCCCAGCCAATTTTTAAGCAAGTCTCCATCAGTGGATCATTCCATCCGCACCATCCACTGTATACCTCTAAGCGATTACAACTCTCATGTTTTAAGAAGAAAAGAAAAAAATCTTCAACAATTCTTACCTTGACTCTGGACGTAGATCTTACCCCCAGCGTGCGGCTTTTGGAAAAGAGGGGAGAAGGACAAAACAAAGTGAATGTGATCGCCCAGGACAACTGCGTTTTGGAAATGAAGTAAAGGTTCCTCTGGGAATGTATGGGGGGCGAGGGAGGGGTCCCTACAAGCTGTGCCCACATGTGCCACCAGAGGAGAGCAGCAGAGGCTCGGGGTTCTCAGGAGCGTTAGGTGAAGGCAGGCGAACTAGGTTAGCAGGACAGTTACTAAAGACTCACATCACCTGGGGCGTCCCTGCGCACAGGCTGCCGGCAGAGACCTTGGAGAGCGCGTCCTTCCCAGCCACGTCCTTAGTGGCGTCTCTGCCTCTGGATAGTGTACTCCCCCACCCTTAGGAACAAGAAGCGGGTAGAGCCCGATCTTTGGAAACAGAAACATCAGCCCCAGGGGTGGGTTGGTACTTCTCCGCACGGGACAGGATGGACACGCGTAACTGGTGTGGGCATTTGTACCAAAATGGAAACCTGCCCCTCCTTGTGGGTTTTCTGGTGAGATGGCAGAAAAGCCATCAGAGAGATAAAGAATCCACTTCTGGTGATCCTGTAGAGAGGTGGTGAACCCCAAACCATACTCACTGCCGCAGAGAGGATCTCGACTCAGCGACTCTACAGGATGGGGTACCCGACACTGTCAACCTTGGCGCGAACACACGGCCAACCTCTTTCTCTGGCGGAGCAGCTGGTGGGTTTGAACCACTGACCACCCTGGTGTTTAACCCACAGCACCACCCGGGGTGTAGTTGTGGCATCACTTTAGTAAAACTCAAGGCTGGCTCTCGGAAGTGACCAGAACAGCCACCCAGTGGAGAAGTCACGGACCATGCATGTTCAGTCCTACAATCTAAGTACCCAGACCAATGCATGGCCGACCAGCCAGCCAGAAGGACCTGGGACCGACCCCAGCACCCCAGCTTGAGCTGGCCATTCAGTACACTGACCACCAGAAGCCAGGGGGCCTCTACTAGGTTTCACTGTCCCCGGGATTCTTTGTCCCGCGGTATGGCACATGTCCTTGAAAGACACCAGAAATCCCAGTAGCACTGAGCTGGTTCCGACTCACAGCGACCCTACAGGGCAAAGTAGAAGCCCCCCATGGGATATGTGACGGTGTCAGTCCTGTGGCTAGGAGTCCAAGACTTAACCCACTGCCAGTTTACAAAACGACTTCAAGAATTTCTTCTCTGCTCATTAATCTGTTCACTGTCATGAAAAAAATGGTTCACAGGCACTACTGACATTACACAGTGGAATGAAGAGATCCAAGATAACGCCTTTCGTTGAATTATCATTCCACTGGAAAGCCAAAGGCGATTTTAGAAAATGGCAGTTGGGGCTTGTCAAACCACCCCTCAGTCTGGTGGTGTAGCGGATTAGATGCTGGACTGCTGATCACAAGGTTGGTGGTTGGAACTCACCAGTTGCTCCCAGTGAGAAAGATAAGGCCGCCAGCTTCTGTTAACACTGGCTCACTGTGAGTTGGAATCACCCTGACAGCGGTGGATGGGTTTTGGTGGGTGGGGTATGGTTTAGTCCAAGGCTGACTTGAAAAACTCCTACAAGGAGGAAGTGAAAACACAGCTAAGACTGTCCTTGCTCAGACTTTGAACTCTGAAAACTTTCACTATGTGGCAACAACAGACCCAGTGCCGTCTAGGTCAATTTGTTAGAGAAGGAAGGGTGAACCGGCATTAGTTGTTTTGCCCTAATTGTCATTCGGAATATGCTTTTCAACTGTTGGCATTGTTGTTAGGGGCCATCAAGTGGGCACCGACTCACAGCCGCCCCATGCACAACAGAAGGGAACACTGCCCAGTCCTGCATCCACCTCACAATCGGTGCTGCATTTAAGCCCATCACTGCTGCCACTGTGCCAATCCATCTCACTGGGGGTCTTCCTTTCTTTCTCTGACCCTCCGCTTTACCAAACATGATATCCTTCTCTAGGGACTGGTCCCTCCTGATTATGTCTGAAATACGAGAGACAAAATCTGGCCATCCTAGCCTCCAAGGAGCACTCTGGCTGTACTTCTTCCAACACAGATTGGGCTGGTCTTCTGGCAGTCCATGGTAATTTTAATATTCCCCTCCACACCATAACTCAGAGGCATCAATTCTTCTACGGTCTTCCTGATTCACTGTCCAGCTTTCACATGCATATGAGGTTACTGAAAATACCATGGCTTGGGTCAGGCGCACCTTAGTCCTCAAGCTGACATCTTTGCTCTTCAACCCTGTAAAGAGGTCTTACGCAGCCAATTTTCCAATGCAGTATGTTGTTTGATTTCTTGACTGCTGTTTCCATGAGTGTTGATGGTTGACCCAAGCAAAATGAAGTTTGATAATGTCATTCATTTCTCCACTTATGTGCATTGTGCTTACTGGTCCAGTGGTGAGGATTTTTATTTACTTTACCTTAAGGTGTATCCCAGACCAAAGGCTGTATGTAGTCTTTGATCTTCATCAGTAATTGCTTTATAATTGGAAATACATAAACCTAACACTGTGGGTTTTAGAAGACATCCCCTTTCTCTCTTTGCCCCACCACTGAAAATACATTAAATTGGTATCTCAACTCTATTAAGTACAATGATTTGCATATGCACATTTATGGATTTATTTGTTGGTCCTTGCATAATTAAGCATTATTTACCTTAAAATCCTATAAACATTCGAAAAAATTGGTCCACATCTAGTTCTGCAAACCCAAAACCAAACCCAGTGCCAATGATTCCAGCTCACAGTGACCCTCTAGGACTCCGCAGAGCTCCCCACAGGGTTCCTTCCCAAGGTTGCAAATCTTCACGTAAGCAGCTGCCTCATCTTTCTGTCCCAGAGCAGCTGGTGGGTTTGAACCACGAACCATGTCATGAGCAGACGAGCTCGGTGCCCTCAGGGTTCCGCGGTTGTGTGTAGAAATTTTGAGAACACCCTAAATGATATTTGAAGGTCTTATCCAAGAAAATCACCAAAGAAGTTACAGTATGAACGCAATCTGGGTCTGATTTATTTTTAATCTTTGTAATAAAAGAAATTTGGCAAAAGCCAACTGGGTTATATTGATTCTGAAGAACACTTTCTAAATTACAATGTTCTAAATACAAATTTGCTTTCTTTGCTCAATATTTATTGTTGTTTAACTTGCCCTGAAATAACATAAGATTCAAAGTCCTTGTATATCACTTGCCTTGCCGAATGAGTTAATCGATGCATCAGATGAAGTAGAGAATTGGGTTTGTGTTTTTGTGTGCATGGGAGTAGGGGGTAGTTCTTCAATATTTAATATATACGAGAAACCAGTATTTAATTTGGCCCATGATTAAATAGAAAAAGCCAGTGTCCTGCTGGAGAGACACCTCTCAATATATCTAACTTTGTATTAGACCCAATGGAGTCCTGGTGAAGAACTCGACTTCAAAGTCAGTTTGAACCACAAGGTCGGGGGTTCAAACTCACCAGCCGTTCCTGGGAAACCTTACGCAGGTCACTAAGAGTTGAAGACAACTCAAAGGCACTGAACAGCAATAATAACAATGGATCCCAAGGAGCCCTGGTGGTGCAGAGGGTTAAATGTTGGCTTAGTGACCACACAGTCAGCAGTACAAACCCAACAGGCACTCGAGGGAACAAAGAGGCGGCTGTGTGTGCCCACAGAGCATGGCCCTGCGCCATTCTCATAACTGTTACATTTGAACCCACCGATGATGTCACTGTGCCAATCCATGTCAATGGGGGCTTCCTCTTTCTCACTGACCCTCCACTTTACCAAACATGATGTCCTTCTCCAGAGACCGGTTCCTCCTGACAATGTGTCGAAGTACCAGAGACAACCTCACCACACTTTTTCCAAAACAGATTTCTTCATTCTCTGATAGTCCATTCTGCATTCACTATTCTTCATCAACACCAACATTAAAACGTGATGGTTCTTCTCCAGTCTTTCCCGTGTGTGTTGAAGTGAATCAAGAGTCCATGGAGTAGGTCAGGCACCTCTTAGTCTTCAAAGTCCATCTCTGCTCTGTAACTCTTTCAAGAGGTCTTTTCCAGCAAATTTGCCTAAGGAAAGATGTCATGGGATTTCTCCCATAAAAATGACAGCCTTGGAAAGGCCTTGGGGCAGTCCTTTTGAGTCGGAAGTGACGGGATGGTAGAAGTTTGGTTTCTGGGTTTCTACAGCGCATTCTGCTACAGAAATAACAGACAGCAACAACGAAATAGTTCCCATTCTTTGATAATGCAACTCAGAAGTTACCCTGGCCATCACGAATTGTAATCTACTAGACAGCAACTAGTTAACTAGTTAAGAGGTTACCCTCCAGAAATCCAACTTTCTGCCAATGAAGTCCACAATACGTATTATTTTAAATATACGTGGCAAAAAGATTATTTTGAAATTATACCTTGTGATAATGGCTTCATTCAAGGAAGTGGCAAAAAGCATATGGGCTGTTATGCATTGCCTAAAAGAAATTACGGACACTAAATATAAAGATCTCAAAATAAATCTAGGACATGAAGCACACTCTAAGGGACATGGAATCTTTCTCTCTTCTCTCCCTCTACCTGTACACTTTACCCTTAGAGATCTTTAAAAGAAAATAATGTTCCAGACATACTAAAGTTTTTAAAGTGCGCATCCTCACCACCCAACACCTACAAGTGAACCGGATAAATCAAACTTTCCAAAAGCACACAACCTACATGGGTGACAGGAGTGGGTTGGAACGCTGGGCCTGACTGTACCAGAGTCAATGTTGAACAGCTTCAAAGACGGAGTCCAACAATCCATGAGCCCCAGTGAAATGCCACCATGACAGTGTGGCGCCTCTCCTAGGCCTGTGTGAAAACATGGGGAAAAGACTCCTTGGCGTTTTCATTTGGTTCAAATCTCGCGCTCTGTGGACTTCCTCATGTTCTTCCAGAGCATTCCACCCCCTCTGCCTTAGCCATTCGGCGAATTGGAAGCAATGTTGAGGATCACTCAGGAAGTCTGAGTCCCAGGTCACATGGAAGGTGAACTTGGGATATGTACCTCTTGAACAGAGAAAGCTCAATGACTCTGAATTACAGCCAGACTTTTCCATTACTGGGATACCCCGTGGAGGGTCATGTAGGTGTAGACCGAAATCCGAGGACAGCCCATCTTCATGGAAGGTGTTCAAAACAAGAAGCTTCTTACAAGAGGACCAACATCTGGGGTCTCACAAAACAGGTAAGCAGGCTGGCCTACGAACTCTGGATTCTGGAGATGAGGCAGAGGAGAGCTTTGTGGGTTTGGACTGTGGTAGAAACGACAATAAAAGATGCGGTATGTGTAGTTCCTACTGCTATCAGGACACTGAAGAGATCACCCGACGTGAAGCTGAGGGCCACGTGGGGGAGAAGGCCTTTCCCTCGCATGCTCACTAACGCCCAGGTGGATTTCCCAGCTCACCTGTGGGGCTGTGAGCTGGACATGGCACAGCCGGTGAGGGCCATCTTGCCGTCCATAGTTTCTTTTCCAAAGGAGTTGGAGGGCACGTAGAAACTAAAATTTGCACACACCACCACCTTGCTAAGGCAAGGGAGATCAGAGAGGCCCCTGAGGAAAGGGACTCAACACTCTTTTATATTTATAAAAAAATAATTAAAAGTCACACCACCAAGCAAGTGAGGTTGAACACCAACCTCAGAGGAGAATAGACCACACGCCATTTCTGCTCATTGTATCTTTCTGAAGGGGATAACAAATTCAAGCAATATTTACTCAACCTCTAGATAAAAATAAAATTAAATTTTAAAAAACTCATAAAGGTTCATAAATAAATATGTGAATGCAGTGAAGTTTCTCTAAGCAGAGCACTTATCAGAAAAAGTACCATGATGTGCACCTTTCTATAGGCCTGTGAGATTCTGAACACAGGCAGAGACATGTTAAACCATATTCATCATTTCTGCTGGAAGAAGACACAAGGGGGCTTCCAAAAGTCTGTGGAAGTAGGCAAGTGTCTTTTAATTCCACTTTTCCACTGACTTTTTGAAGCCCCTTCATATACTCTTTGCTTCTTTTCATTTTAAGCTTTCTTGGATAAAATAAAGGAAAACATTCTAAACCTAGAATAGAACTCAATGACTCAAATTTGTATTCTCAATTCTATGACATAATGTG